TCCCGAGCTCAAATATAAAAGTGTGTACCTAGGACTATGTTCTTTTCAGAATGAGAGTTTCTTGAGGGAGAAAACTTGTCTGTTTCAGCTTTGCATTTTCAGTTCTCAGAACAATGTATGGCACATAGAAAGCAAACAGTAAATGTTTCAGAGGTGAATGACCACATGGTGAATTGAATGAATGGATTGATTTATGAACCCATCAATGACAAAGATCATGAAGAACCCAAATGCTTTCTTGGTGCCTGCTTTTCTACTGGCATTTTGTTTGCCTACCTTTGCATTTCCCTTGATCCTTCGACAATTTTATGAATTTATTTAGTCATCCCTATTCACATTTTATAAAGGATAAAACTGAGTCTAAAGGACAAGAAGTGGTGTACCCACTAAAAGAAAAGCAGTAAACATTGGAACTCATATTAAAGTACAACATTCCACCTTCAGAATATAAATTTCATAATAGTAACATAGTATATTGGTACAGTATATAATAACTATATGTATGAATAGACTGTCACAGGTGACAACCAAATGTATCAATAAATATAAACATACTTTGGGTATTAAAATCCCTGTAAAAATGTCATAATGACTTCCCACCTCTATATTCTGATATGTGAGGACACTCATCAGGATTTGTTTTCTTTATTTTAGTCTATTATAGTATTTGGCATCCATTAAGAAAATACAAAATACCAAATGGTCTCCAGCTTTTATAAAAATAAACTTCCCTGAACATACAGAGCCAACTCTAGTCATCTCCTCATCTGATCTTCCATAATTACATATACTACTTATATTTATCATATACTGCTTTAAAGAAATACCCATGGGTTCTTGGAAAGCAAGGAGAATACCTCTCATAGACCTGTGCCTCTCATCAAACTTCACCTGGATTTCCAGAAAATAAGTGCTCTTAAATTATTGTCGCTCAAGATACTTTTAAAAGACTCAATAATACAGCTTTTTTCATATTTTTATTAAAAATAAAAAGCGTCTACTCAGATGTATATATTTTGTTCTTTATTTTGAAGCAAAGAGCAAAACAGCTGAAATAACTGTGGAGCTCAGTGTTTAATAAAACTGATTATAAATCTGAGCTAGTACTAAGCATTTTTATGCCAAGTAAAAATATTCTTTAGAAAGTTCTCAAGTAAACATATTAGGCATATCACAGAAATATATTCCTGCTTTGGACTGTTTTACATCATTTTCAAACATTTTCTGAACACCTAATTGTATATGGTGTTGTATTACATTATGTTACAGACAACTGCAGATATCCAGTCCCAGCACAGCCAGAGTTGGGACAACTTTGAAACTAGTGTTCACCAAAGAATATTGATTCTGATAATTTGTTAACATCTTATAAATCTTATTAGTATAAGTGCTAGAAGAGTCTCTCCCTTTAATAAGCTAGAGGCAGAAGTGCAAAAAATATTTTCTTTCTTTTAAGTTATAAGACATCCAACTTTTTATCATATATAAAAAGTTGGTAAATACCAAGACACGTCCTCTTTTCCACTATTAACCTAGTCAGTATGAAAATACTGGAAGATGCTTTTGCACAACTAAAGACGATATAGTATTACTTCCCGGGAAGAAGTAGCAAGGGTACTATGTTTTGTTTAATACTGCTACAGCCTATAAAAATCTACTAGGCCAAAGGGATGAATTCTTGCCTGAGGAGAGGCAATATCCCACAGGCATTCTATAGCCCTGTTTGGTTGCTAAGGAAAATGCCCCCATAAAACTAACTCTGCAGGCCTTTCAAATTAGAAATGTCATCAGCCATTACCTTAATGTCAGCACACTTTAACTTAATGAAATGCATTTCATGCTGTTATCACAAAATGCACTTGTGAGAAGCAATATGGTACTAATACAAATAGTGTAACAAACAGAGATGTCTTGTTCATTGATTTAAAAAATAACCATATTCTCTATGTGCATAAACACATATCAGTACCAAATTCAATTAGCGTCTCATTAGTACTCATAGTTGTACACTCTTTTCCTGTACTTTCATCTATTGTTTCATGCAGTGGTTTTGCAGGTAACCTGTATCCTGGATAAAACGTGAATTCCATCTGTGAGCTTTTGAGATAAACGTGTCAATGGACCCCTGAGAAGAACAAGGTGATGACACAATAGGATCAGAATTATAACTCAAAACTGGCAAGTAATTTGTGCCCCAGAAACTACTTTCATGTTTACAGGCATTTGAATTTGATAAAGATTTGCTCTTGATCATCACCCCTTATTTATAATGCAAGGACCCTGGTGTCAAGGAGTCTTGTTATTTGCAAGAGATTGTAGCACCATCACAAAGTGCCACTACAGCACGATAGGTGTTGTCATATGAATGAGAAAGAGGCACTGTATGCATGCTGAATTCTCTGCATCACTAAAGCCTCAATGTAGAGTCTGAACAGATAATGGTGAGTGGAATCTGAGAAACTTCAGTGCTTCTCAGCCAACAATTAGGATGGATAGCATTGCTGTAATTTAAAGAAATAATTAGGACTCACCTTGAATTATCAAAAGAAGTAACTCTCCAGCTTCTGCATGATGGACAGGTGAGTATAAACCTAGAAGGATGCCAGACTGTATCACTTGCTTTAATAACATCTCACAAGACCTTAATTCCTCAAAGTATTTCTCGAAAAGGTGCTTGAAAAGCTAGAATGGATCTTACATGTCCTATTGAGTGACCCATAAATCCCTTAGGTAATGGTTAGAGAATGCAACATTTGATTTTATTCTAGATGGAACAGTTCAGGAATTCAGAGTTGCTGCAGAGGAGGTGTTCCTGATGGAGGCATGTGTTTGAGGTTGCAAAGAAAAACTTGACTTTGGAGAAACTTGACTTCATTACATGACTCTGAAAGAGTGAGTGGTCTTTTAGTGATTCACTCTATCGGCCTTTCAGTCTGTAAAGAGTGGGTTGCCAGTTAATCCAGTCATGAAGGATTCCAAAGAGATCTGTACAAGGGAAACATAAAGTGCACATTAGGCTCAACCACACTAAGAGATGCCCCAATTAAGTTGGCAATGTAGCAGAACTGGCTATGCAGACAGATCTGTTTGAGAAAAATGTAGTGGTGGTTGACCCTCCATAAAATGGTAATCATCTCCTTATTTCCTTATTATTTTGTCTACGTGTTGGGGTCAGATATTCTAAATGTTCTTTAAATATATTTTAGGTGATCCTAGTGTTACACATTTGAAAATGATAATGTGGCACAATTTTTCATCAAAATATAACCACAATCTTGATGCTTCAAATACACACCTTTCTAATATTTGATGAAAGATATGGTGGATTCATTGGCAGCTTCCTAATACCTATTTGATAAGTGCATCCTTTGTCAGGATGCTGCCAAGATAGTGCTATTTAGTGACAGGCTTCAAATGTATACAGCCAATATAGAGCTTCTGAGGTTACTAAAATTCTTCTGGAACAGAGTAATAGATGGCTTTAATCCTTTTTAGGCTGGCTATAAAGTTGTAATACTCTGCTGACTCTGCAAAATAACCTAAAATATAGACTTATACCTTTTCTTATGTGCGTGTTTCCAAGATCTATTCATCAGCTTAATGACTGATTTTCCTGAGGTTGGTTTTAGGGCTTGGAGCCAATCACACTGAAACTATTTGGGAGAAAAGGAAAACATTTCACGGTCAAATATCTTGTGTATCTTAATAAATTGTATATGTGTGTGTGTATATATATATATATCTTAATGTTGTTTTGTACATGTTTTACAAGTACCATCTTATCTTGACTTAGTAAGCACTTCCGTTCTCTCATGGTAGGGTTAATCCAAAGCAAATCTTCAAATTAACTGGTATTTGTTATTGGCATCTCCTCTTCCATTGAATCCAGAAGCAAAACAGTGTTTTGGCAATGTAAAGTTTCTGATAGCACCTCGGCTATAGCCCTCTTCTTCCCAGCAAGCCTTACCTGACCGCATGTTTCCATTCTCTCCTAACCCTGTTCTTTGCTTTGTAGAGAACAGCATTTTGACAGGTCCAAGAAGGCTATTATGATACACAGCTTCAGACATTAGCCTTCCAATGGTGATTTCATGTTAATAGCAAGCTCCTGGAATAAATGTCTCAAATTAAAGTGATGAATTATCGAAGATGTCACTTCATAAAATGCATCTGAACACTTGGGGAGAACTTTTGAAAACAAAGTCCCTCTCTATTTCTTGCAAATATTTACAGATACATCACTATCTACTCCGACTGCTTATAAGAGTATGTACACATATTTAAGAGTAACATTGAGGCTGCTTTTTTTTCTGATATTCATGTTTGTATATACCAACAATGCAAATTAATATTGGCTCATGATTAATATTAATTAATGAGAAGATTATTTTACTTAGAGTTTAAACTGTTTGAAAACTAGCTCCCAAATTAAAATTATTTGGGCAGACTTGACTAAAACTACTATACAATCAAGTATGTATTTAAGAAAACACTTATAAAGGATATACCCAATTTTGACTGTATATGTATGTGTGTGTGTGTGTGACAAATGGATATATATACACACACACGCACACACACATTCAGAGAGAGAGAGAATTAAAATAATGTAAGGTTTGAATTGTGCAAAGCTAAGAATTTGTCAAAGAAACATACATATGTTTCCAAAATAATTTTACAGATGTTGTTGTGAAAAAAAGAATGATGAAGCCAGGTGTGGTGGTTCATGCCTGTTCAGCATTTTGGGAGGCCAAGGCAGGAGGATCACTTGAGGCCAGGAGTTCAAGACCAGACTGGACAAGATAGTGAGAAACCATCTCTACAAATATATATATTAGATATGTTAAAAGTTAGCCAGGCATGGTGGTGCTATTTATAATATTTATATATATTTATATATATTTATTATATATATAATACATATTTATAATATATACATCATATATATTATAAATATTAAATATATTAAAATTAGCCAGGTATGGTGGCACTCACCTTTAGTCTCAGGTACTCAGCAACTTGGGAGACTGAGGCAAGATAATCACTTGAACCCAGAAGCCGAAGGCTGCAATGAGCTATAATCCCTGTGCTCCGCTTCAGCGATAAAGGGAGACCATGTCTAAAATTTAAAAAGAATGACAAGGTATAGAGTCATATAATTATTTTACTTATTGTGTATCTTTCTCACACATACGTGCAACTCTACCATTATTATAACAATTAGTGTCAATAAAGAGTTTGGCCTTAAACTCTCAAAATTGATAGCCTATGAGACATAAATCTAAAATCCATCAAAATACTTATAAAATCCATCAAAATCTAAAATCCATCAAAATACTTATAAAATCCATCAAAATCTAAAATCCATCAAAAAATACTTGTTTTTCATGTGGACAGATGTACAGTTGTTTCTTTGGAATTTCACATAGCCAGCTATTTGCCCTCTGCAAAATGATCGTCATTTGAAAAAATAATATGCTGTTATGACATTTCTGGAAACATCAAACTATCTTAGAGAATAATATTAGACTTTGTCAAAAACCACAAAAATATGACATTTCAAAAACTTGGACATTGAAAACTTTGTATATATTTTATGACCTTTTAATGTGTCTTACTCATATGGATCTTTTAAATAGAAGCTAAATACCTTTGTGGCTAGCATTTTTGTCTCAAACTCGTTTTTTCCTGGCAGCTCTGGGTGCTCCATAGAGGTATGTACCTTTCCTGCTTGGGCCCTGGCAGCATTTTGAGCACACTGATTTCTGTCAGAGACCTTCAGGCAGTAGCCTCGGGTTAACATGTGAAATGCACATTGTAACACTGAGTTTGTCAGCCCTCAACAATCTCTGAAAAGTGGAAAATCTTGGAGATTCCCTAGGAGAAATGAAAGAGTAACTCTGCATTGAAAAATTTAAAAATAGCTCCTTCACCTCTTCATTCCCTTTCCAGTCAAGGTAATATGTACAAGGTATGAAATCCAAATCAGTATGGCAGAAGTTGGGACTGCCATATCACTTGCTTGATCTTTTGATGAGATTATATCACTCAGCTATGAGCACTAAAAATAAGGAAACATGACTGCAGCGTTCTAAAAGGAGGTCCATCAGATGAAAGACACTTAATTTATTGTATTTATGGAGGCACGTTTGCATCATTGAAATTGGGAAGTCCACTGCTGAATAGATTTAATAACTTGAGTAGTAACATTTTCATTTCTTTAAAACAGCTAAATTTTTTTCAACTAATATGCAGTAAATACTTACTATGTGGAAGGTATTCCACAAAACAAATATTAGAATTTAATTAAAGATTTTAAATTAAAATAAAATCATTGAAATTTTAGTTTTAAGCAAAATGAAGTAAGCACTCATTATCCTGACTCTTTCACTGAATACTGTTATAAAATCTGGATAGGCCTGTAATCCCAGCACTTTGGGAGGCCGAGACGGGCGGATCACGAGGTCAGGAGATCGAGACCATCCTGGCGAACACGGTGAAACCCCGTCTCTACTAAAAAATACAAAAAAACTAGCCGGGCGAGGTGGCGGACGGGCGCCTGTAGTCCCAGCTACTCGGGAGGCTGAGGCAGGAGAATGGCGTAAACCCGGGAGGCGGAGCTTGCAGTGAGCTGAGATCCAGCCACTGCACTCTAGCCTGGGCGACAGAGCCAGACTCCATCTCAAAAAAAAAAAAAAAAAAAAAAAAAAATCTGGATAGGTGCATGGAGCAAGTACGAGAAGACTCCAAAACTTAAATAGTAGCAGATGGTTAGAAAAGAAAGTCAAAATACAAAGTAACACTGAAATGACTGTGAACTTATCATTTATATCTACCTGTGTGGTATCTGTCAACCTGATCTCAGAGCTGCTTAAAACCTGGAAGTGAATACCAATGAAGAAAGAGAGAGCTGCAGGAGATGTCTTCTGGTTCTAGTTTGAGGAGTCAGAAAGAGGACTTTGAATGGTAATGATGGCTGTAGCATGGGCCTGCAGTTACCCAAAACTGTTAAGGAGGGGAAAGTTCTTTGATCAGAGAAGTTGTGGTATTAAGAAGATGAGGTAAATGTTCATTGCTTTTACTATTTTTGTCCTTCTGCCATTTGGCCCCAAACATGGTTGCAATGGAATTAAGAATTTAACAAATAGGGTTAAATACAGAGCAGCTCCCTGACTGGGGGGTATAAAAGCAAGCCCCGAGAAAATCAGAAAGAACCAAAAACATTACAGAAAGACAAAAGCTTAGGAAGGTGATCTATAAAATTGCTTGTTAATCTTCTGGGTTCACTCCTGATTTGAGTATGCATGGATCTGATGTTAAGCAGCACATTTTGAAAACTGAACACAGATATAAACTATCACTTCTGTCCCAGACTTGCCACTGGATGACCCGCATACAGGAAAGATTTAAATAGCACAGAAAATCTTCAAAAAGTAAACTGAAATTAGAGCCACCGCATACAGGTTGGAACTTGTGACCAAAATCTGTATCAGTTAATTGCCTACCACAACAAACAAATATATTTAATTTAAACAAGACCAAATGGCTCATAACATGACATTCAAAATATGCAGAATACAATTACAATTTTTTAGACATAGGAAAAATCAGGAAAATCTCAACACACGTGGGGATGAAAAACCTATATACTAATGGAGTTTGCAATGTATGTAGATGTAATATATGATAACTACAAAAAGGCAAGTAAAATACCTATATCATGGTAAGTTTCTAATCTTCCCACTTGAAGTGGTAAAATGCTGATTTAAAGTGAATCATGAAGAGCTAAATATGTACACTGTAAAAACTAGAGAAATCACTAAAGCAAAACAAAAACAAAACAAAAAATCCAAAACTATACAAAGGGATATGGTCAAACACCCAATAATAAATTAAAATGAAATACTAAAATGTGTAAATCAATGAAAAGAAAATAAGAAAGGTGAAAGGCAAATAAAAAGAGGTAAATAAAGAACACAATTGTAGACCTACATCCAAACATAGCAATAATCATATTAAGTATAAATTGTCTGAACACACAAATTAACTCACACATATTATCAGAATGAATTTTTAAAAATCATAATCCAACTAGATTCTATATACAAAAAACTGACTTCTAATGTAATGATACTGGTAGTTTAAAATGAAAAAAGATGGAAATATAGGTATGTGTGTATGTGTGTGTGTGTGTCACACATGTCAAACTACACAAACCATAATCCAAACAAGACCAATAATCTGATGTGGTTTATACAAATTTCAGTCAAAGTGGAGTTGAGAGCAAAGAAAGTTACAGAGAACATATAGGGATATTACACAATTTTAAAAGAAAAAAATCTCCAAGAAGACATAAAGGAAGGAAAAACTGACATAGCAAAAGGAACTAGACAAAATCTACAATTGTAGTTGGAGACTTCACTCTCACCAACTGGATTTAATTACATTTATAGAACGCCACCCAACAATAGTAGCAGTCACATTTTTGTCAAGTGTTCATGAACACTTACCTTACTAAATCTTTAATTTGCCTTGTCTTATTCTATTTTGTGCTACTATAACAAAATACTTGAGACAAAGTAATTTTTAAATAGCAGACATTATTTACTACAGTACTGGAGGCTGAGAAGTTCAATTTTGAGAAGCCTACATCTGGGAGGGCCTTCATGCTGCCTCATCCCATGGTGTAAGGAAAAAAGATGAGATAGCATGTGTGAGAGAGTGAGAGAAAATTTATAGCCTCAAACCCTTTTATAAGTGGCATGAATTCATTAATGAACGTAGAGCCCTGGTGACCTAAACACATCCCATTAGGCTCCACCGCTCAACACTGTTGCATTAAAGATTAAGTTTCCAACACTTACCTTTTTGAGGACACATTCAAATCACAGCATCAAAGTAGACCATATTCTGGATAATAAAACAGATCTTAAATCATTAAGATAATAGAACTCATACATAGTATGTTCTCTGACTATAATATAATTCAACTAGAAATTCGTAAAAGAAAGATAGCAGGAAAATCACTAAACACTTGGAAATTTAGCATCACTTTCTTAAGAATCTATAGTACAAAGTAAAAATGTCAAGGAAAATTAGAAAATATTTTTAACTGAATTAAAATTCAAATATTACATATAAATGTATGTGATATGCAGCTAATGAAATACATAGAAAGAAATTGATATTAAATGCTCATATTACAAAGGAAGAATGATCTCAAGTAAATAGCCCAAATATTCATCTTAAGGAACTGTAACTAAGCAAATGGAAGGTAAAATGAAGATAGAAACAAAAATCAATAAAATTGTAAATTTAAAATCCTAGAGAAAATTTTAAAAATCAGAAAGTAGTTATTTGAAAAGATTTTAAAAATTGATAAAACTCCACTTATATTAACAGGAAAAAGAAGAGAGTAGACACAAATTACCAATGTTGACAATAAAAGCAGATATTACTACAGAAACCACCCAAATGAAAAGCATAACTTTAAAAAAAATTACCAACAAATCTACACATATATTCAGCAACATAACTAAAATATACCAATTCCTAGAGAACCTCGAACTATCAGAAGTCACCAAAGATATGATAAACCTATAATTATTATATAAATTGAATTTATTCTCACTCTGTCACCTAAGCTGGAGCGCAGTGGTGTGATCTTGGGTCACTGCAACCTACGCCTCCTGGGTTCAAGCAATTCTCCTGCCTTAGCCTCCTGAGTAGCTGGGATTACATGTGTGTGCCATCATACCTGGCTAATTTTTTGTAATTTTAGTAGAGACAGGGTTTCACCATGCTGGCCAGGCTGGTCTCAAACTCCTGACCTCATGATCCACCCACCTTGGCCTCCCAAAGCGCTGCGATTACAGGTGTGTGAACATTTATTCTGAAAAAGAAATCTTCAGTTCTGGATGGTTTCACTGAGAAGTTCTACTAATCATTTAAAGAAGAAATAAAACCAATTTCTTTCAGAAAATAGAAGAGAGGAGAGCACATCACAACTAATTTTATAAAACCATTACTACATGAACAGTATCAAAATGAGTCAAAGGCACTCTGAGAAAGATTAACTACAGAGAAATGTCACTTATGAATTTAGATGCAAAAATCCTCAACAACATTACCAAATTAAATCCAACAATATGTAAAACAATACTATATTATAATAAAACAATATTTACCCTATATATGGGAAAATTTTTTAATACTCAAAAATTAATGAGTGTAATCTATCGTATTAACAGTCTAAAGAAGAAATGGCACATGATCATATCAACTAATGAAGAAAAGTATTTGACAAAATTAATGATTGATTCATAATAAAAACTAGCAGAAAATAAGAAATTGAAAAAAAAATTATCAACCTGATACTAGGCTTCTGGAAAAACAATACCACTAACATAATTATTAATTTTGAAAGAGTGAATGCCTTCCTCCTAAAATTGAGAGCAAGGCAAAGATTTTTCCTGTATTATTCATATTTAACACTGTACAAGAGGCCTAACCAATGTATTAAAGCAAGAAAAGAAATGAGATATACAGATTAGAAAGGACTGAATTAAACTGTACCTATCTATATACACAAATTTCCATTCAAAAAACCCATGGAATCTATTGAAAGTAACTCCTAGAAAATAATTAGCTGGTATAGTCACAAAATACAAAGTTAGCATTGTAAAATCTTTCTTATTTCAATATAGTAAGAACAATAAGCAAAATTTTTCTTAACTAATATGATTTACATTTGCTCCCCCCAAAAATGAATCAAAATTAGGTATGAATTTAGTTAAAATGTGCAAGATCTATATGCTAAAACATTACAAAAGTTGATGAAATTAACCAAAGAACTCATGCTATGGTCAAGAATGGAAAGACTCTAAATGGATAAAATTCTCTGTTCAAAAGATACAGAGTGATTGAATAAATTAAAGCAAAACAAAACAGGACCCAGCTATATGCTGCTTATAAGAGAATCACTTCAACTTTATGGGCACATCATATGAAAGTGAAGGAATGGAAAAAGATACTCCAGGCAAAGAGAAACTAAAAGAAAGCAGCGGTAACTCTCTCTCTCTCCATATATATAATATACACACACACATATATATAAAATATATATATATATAAGCAGAATTACCTTGAAGTATCAGAAAAATAGAAGGAGACAAAAAAGGTCATTACAGTATGATAAAGGTATGAATTTAACAAGAAGATATAACAATTATAAATACATATGTGTCCAACTTTGAAGCTCCTATATATATTAAATATACCAAACAAATATTAACAGATACTAAGGAAAAGAGAGACTGCAATACAATAATAGTAGTGAACTTCAGTATCACTTTCAACAATGAACAGTTATCCAGATGGAAAATCAATAAGAAAACACTGTACTGAAATGGAACTTCAGACCAAATGAACCTGACAGACACATACTAAACATTTCACCCAACAGTAACATAATATACAGTCTTCTCAAATGCACATAGGACATTTTCCACAACAGATCATACGTTAGGCAGCCAAGCAGATTGGACAAACTGAGACTGAATCATAGCAAGAATCCTTTCCAACAACGGTAGTATAAAACTAGAAATCAGTAACAGGAAGAATTTTGGAAAATTCACAAATACATGGAAATGAAACAATGTATTACAGAAGAACAAATGAATCAAAGAAGAAATTGAAAGGAAATTAAAAAAAAAAAAGCTTGAGATAAAGAAAAATGCAAACACGGCATACCAAAATTATGAAATGCAGCAAAAGCAGTTATAAGAGGAAATTTTATAACAATAAATACCTATATCAAAAAAAGAAAAAGAAAGAAAAATTCCAGATAAACAACCTAATGTTACAACTCAAGAAACTAGAAAAAAAAAAAAAAAAAAAAAAAAAACTAGGCCTAAAGTTAGTAGAATAAATAAGAAAAAAAGATCAGAAGAAAAAACAGATGATGTAGAGACTAGAAAAACAAGAAGAAAAAGTAATGAAACCAAGAGTTAGTTTTTAGAAAAAAGGAACAAAATCGATAAATTTTTAGCTAAACTAAGAATAAAGAGAAGACAAAATCAGAAATGAAAGAGGAGACATTACAACTGATAATACAGAAATACAAAGGATCATAAGAAACTACTAAGGAAAACTATATGACAACACATTTAATAACCTAAATTCCTAGATAATGAAACCTACCAAGACTTAAAAGAAATTGAAAATCCGAAGAAACCAACATAAAGTATGGAGATTGGGTAAGTAATAAAAGGTCTCATCAAAGAATAACTCAGGACATAATTGTTGAACTCTACCAAACATTTGAAGAACTTAAAACAATCTTTTCTTCTCAAATTCTTCAAAAAAATGAAAGAGGAGATAATACTTTCGAGCTCATTTTTAGAGATCAATATTAACCTGATGTCAAAGCCCAACTAGGGTATGAAAAAGAAAATTACAGGTCAATATCCCTGATGAACATAGGTTTAAAACTCCTCAACAAAATACTAGCAAACTTTATATGGTTTGGCTGTGTCTCCACCCAAATCTCATCTCAAATTATAATCCCCACGTGTCAAGGGAAGGACCTGGTTGGAGGTCATTGGATCACAGGGCAGTCTCCCGCATGCTGTTTGCCTGGTAGTGAGTGAGTTCTCAGGAGACCTGTTGGTTTTAAAATGTGGTAGTTCCCATCTCACACCAGTTAGAATGGCGATCATTCAAAAGTCAGGAAACAACAGGTGCTGGAGAGGATGTGGAGAAACAGGAACACTTTTACACTGTTGGTGGGATTGTAAACTAGTTCAACCATTATGGAAAACAGTATGGCGATTCCTCAAGGATCTAGAACTAGATGTACCATATGACCCAGCCATCCCATTACTGGGTATATACCCAAAGGATTATAAATTATGCTGCTATAAAGACACATGCACACGTATGTTTATTGCAGCACTATTCACAATAGCAAAGACTTGGAATCAACCCAAATGTCCATCAGTGACAGATTGGATTAAGAAAATGTGGCACATATACACCATGGAATACTATGCAGCCATAAAAAAGGATGAGTTTGTGTCCTTTGTAGGGACATGGATGCAGCTGGAAACCATCATTCTTAGCAAACTATCACAAGAACAGAAAACCAAACACCGCATGTTCTCACTCATAGGTGGGAACTGAACAATGAGATCACTTGGACTGGGGAAGGGGAACATCACACACCGGGGCCTATCATGGGGAGGGGGGAGGGGGGAGGGATTGCATTGGGAGTTATACCTGATGTAAATGACGAGTTGATGGGTGCAGAACACCAACATGGCACAAGTATACATATGTAACAAACCTGCACGTTGTGCACATGTACCCTACAACTTAAAGTATAATAACAATAAATAAATTAAAAATAAAATAAAATAAAATAAAATAAAATGTGGTAGTTCCTCTGCTGTCTCTTTCCTGCCACCTTGTGAAGCAGGTGCTTGTTTCTCCTTTGCGTTCTGCCACAATTATAAGTTTCATGAGGCTCCTCAGCCATGCAGAACTGTGAGTCAATTAAACCTTTATTATTTACAAATTACCCAGTCTCAGGTAGTGTCTTTATAGCAGTGTGAAAATGGACTACTACAAACCTGAATTCAACAGCTCGTCAAAAAGAATTATTCACCTTGACCAAGTGGAATTTATCCCTGGGATGCAAGAATGGTTCACAATGTGCAAATCGTTATATGTGATACATCACATTAATGGAATGAAGAAAATAACTACATGATCATTTCAAGATGTGGGAAAAGAATTTGACAAAATTCAGCATCTTTTCCTGATAAGAAAATTTTTCAACAACTTAGATATACTTGTAATGTACTTAACACAATAAAGACCGTTATTAAAAAGACCACAGGCAACATCATTCTCAATGGTGAAAAGTTAAAATCTTTACCTTTAGGATCACCAAGAGGATAAGGATGTCCGGTCCTGCAACTTTTATTCAATATAGTACTGGAGGTCCTGGACAGAGCAATTAGGGGAGAGAAAGAAATAAAACATCCAAATCAGATAGGAAGAAGTGAATTTTTATCTGCAGATAACATGATCTTATATTAAGAAATCCTAAAGACTCCACCAAAAAAAAACTATGAAAACTGATAAACAAATTTGCGCAGTTCAAGACACAAAATCAACATATACAAAAATCAGTAACATTTCTATACATTAACAAAAATTATCTAAAAATATAATCAAGGAAGCAACCCCATTCACAAAAATTATCAAAAAATAAGAATATTTAGGAATAAATTTAACCAAAGAGATTAAAAATTTGTACAGTGGGATTTACAAAATATTGATGAAAGAAATTGGAGAAGATACAAAGGAAAAAGTATCGTGTGTTCATGGATTGGAAGAATAAATATTGTGAAAATGTTTGTACCACCCAAGCAATACAGAGATTCAATGTAATGCCTATCATAATTCCAATGACATTTGTTATAAAAATAAAAAATCCAAAATGTATATTAAGCCACAAAAGACCCTGAATATCCAAAGTAATTTTGAGTGAAAAGGACAAAGCTGGAGGCCTCACACTATATGACCTTACAATCTACTACCAACCCATAATAATCATAGCAGCATAGTACCAGCCTTAAAAGAGACACAAAAATAAATGAAGAACAGAGATGCCAGAAATAAATCCACACATTAGATCAACTGATTTTTCCAAAAAGATGTTAAGAGCACACAATAAGAAAGGGCAGTCTCTTCAATAGATGGCAAACTGAATATCCACATGTAGAAAAATGATATTAGACTGTCATCTTACATCAGATACAATAATCAACTAAAATGGTTTGATAACTTAAATATAAGACCAGAAAATGTGAAACTATTTAAAGGAAGTAGAAAACTCCACTATATTTGCCTAGGCAACGATTATTTGAATATGGCCCCAAAAGCACAGACTGCAAAAGCAAAAATAGATGAATGGGATGACAACAAAATAAAAAGTTTCTGCACAGCAAAGGAAACAATCAACAGAATATAGAGACAATCTACAGGATGGGAGAGAATACTTGCAAACCATACATCTGAAAAAGACACAATATCCAACATATATGAGGAACTCAAACAACTGAATAGTAAGAAAAACACACTTTAAAGGAGAAGCAAGGGACCTGAAGAGAATTTCTCAAACAAAGGCATACAAATGACCAGCCAGGCATGAAAAAATGAGCATGAAAAAATGTTCAACATCACTAATCAACAGAAAAATGAAAATCCAAACCATGATGAGATGTAACCTCATACCTGTTAGGTTGGCTCTTATCAAATAGTCAAAAAACAACAAATGTGGGCAAGGACATAGAGAAAAGAGAATCCTTGTACATTGTTGGTGGAAATGTAAATTGGTACAGCTATTATGGAAAAAAACATGATGATTCCTCAATAATTAGAAAGGAAACTACCATATTATCTAGCAATCTAAGTTCTGGGTATATATTAAAAGAATATGAAATCAGTATGCCAAAGAAACATTGCACTTTTAACATTGCACTTTTATATTTATTGAAACAATATTCACAATGGCCATGATATGGTATCAAATTTAGTTTTCAGCAGGAAATAAATGGGTAATAAAACTGTGATATGTATATGTGTGTGTGTAGATATATATATATATATCTGTGTATACATGTGTAGATATATATATCTACACATACACATACATATATATATCTACACACACACACATACATACATCAGCAGATAAATGGGTAATAAAATTGTGATATGTATGTGTGTTTGTGTGTTTCAGTTAGTAAAAATAAGCTCAAGAGATCTGTTGTACATAATGGTGACTAGAGTTAATAAAAATATATTGTATACTTGAAAATTGCTGAGAGTAGATTTTAGGTGCTCTTACTACAGAAAAATAATAAATATATGAGATATGTTAATTAATATATGTTAAGTATGCTAATTAACTTAGTTAATTAGCCAGATTTAGTCATTTCACAATGTATATAGATAGCAAAATTTCATGTGTACACCTTAAATGTGTATAATTTTCACTTGTCAATTAAATAATTTAAAAAATAAAAATTGGAAAACCTAGCATAGTAAAATTTTTAATTTTTTCCATGCATATATATATAAACATACATGCACATATACATATATACATGTGTATATATGTGTGTGTGTGTATATATATATCTTTAACACAACTCCACACAAAATTCTAGTAGAGACTTGCAGTTACAGACAAATGATTTTAATGTTTACATGGAAAGGCAAGTGAACTAGAATAGCCAAAGCAAATTTGAAAAATAATAAAATTGAGGTATTATACGACTTGATTTCAAGACTTACTATGAAGCCACAGTAATAAAAAACAGTGTGGTATTTATTAAGAGACAGACACATAGATCAGCGGAAAAGGAGGGGGCAAGGCTTTAATTCAAAAGTGTGTAGGGAGTCCAGATATAGACAAAATTCATTTTTGGTGAGTATTCAAAGATAATTAAATGGATTGGGAGAAAATACCTGCAAATCTTGTATCTGGTAGTAGCCTTCCATAAACAGCTCAATTTTATAAAGGGCAAATTACTTGGCAGAAATGTGATCTTAGGGTATAACTGAATGACAAATGAGCACATAAAAAGAGTGTCATTAATCAATAGGAAGATGAATATTAAAACGATGGTGAGATACAACTCCAAATGATTCAGATGGGTAAAACTGAAAATAGTGATGATACCAAGTGCTGTCAAGGATGTGAAGTGACTGAAATTCTCATGCATTGATGTAAGGAATAAAAATTGTAGAGTTACTCTGGAAAACAACATTTCCAGTTTCTCTAGATTCCAATCTCCACCAGTGAATGGGTATAGCTATATAACATGGTCTAGCTATAAACCATGGTATAGCTATATAACACAATTTAATTCAGCAGTAAAAAAGAACAAATAGTTTAGATGAATTATTCTCAAGGATATGCTATTAGGATAAAGTCAATTTTAAAAGTTTACATGATTCTATTTATATGACAATCTCAAAAAAGATAAAAACTATTGCGATGAAGAAACAGCTTAGTGGTTTCTAGGGGTTATGGTTGGAATGATGGAACTGTTGGGTTTTTTAAATTTTTTACATGATGCAAATATTTCCACCCAGCCTATTTAATTACCTGTTGGTGGTGATGGTTACACAAATAAACATATTTCAACATATATACATTTTATAACAGTCATAGAATTTCACAATGAAAATATACACATATTTTCACAATTATAGAACTCTACAATAAAAAAATAATTTTACAGAATGTTAATTTTTAAAAATTACAAATTAAAAAAATACATAAATAAGAAATACAGTGATTTTATCACGACCATGATTTTTTTTCTTTAGGCACATAGAGACTTTAATTAGAGGTCTTTGGATATGTTTTGGGAGGTAGGGTGGTAGAAAAAGGCCACTGCACTCTATCTCAGTAAATCTAGATTATACTCCAACATTAGTTTAGTTCAACCAATTAATTAAAGTAAGATTAAGGCAAGGAGCACCTTTCAATCTATTTAAATAATAAATGCATAAATATATTTATTATATAAAATTATATGTGATACACTTTGGGAGGCTCAGGCAGGCAGATCACCTGAGTTCAGGGTTCGAGACCAGCCTGGCCAACATGTTGAAACACCATCTCTACTAAAAATATAAAAAATTAGCTGGGCATGGTTACGTGCAACGGTAGTCTCAGCCACCCAGGAGGCTGACACGAGAATCGCTCAAACCTAGGAGATGGAGGCTGCAGTGAGCAGAGATCATGCCACTGCATTCCAGCCTGAGCGACAGAGAGACTCTGTCTCAAAAAAAAATTATATGTTATAGATTATATTTTATATATGTTGTCATGTATATTGTTATATATTATTTTTATAATAAATAATACATGTGTTATATATAATATAAAATTTCATTTGATAAATATGTATTTTTTATATATTCATTATACTGTATTATAATATATTCATCCTGTGTGTATATATATACGTGGCATATATATAAGATATCCTAGGTGATATCCAAGGTCTTTCAATATGTTAATTGAAACAAAGCACATATATATCCTATATAAATTTGTCATTTTTATTTTTATCATATATAAATTGTATCATATATAAACTTGTAAATTATTGTAGAAGCTATGTTAATAAGGAAAATAGAATATACTAGAATGGAGGGTAACAATAACTTTATGCAGGTAAAATCTGAAATCCAAAATGATACCAAATTCTAAACTTTCTTTAAGCGCCAACATGATGCTCAAAGGAAATGCTCGCTGAAGGTTTTTGGATTTAGAAAACTTAACCTGTAGTTGCTATAAAAGCCTATTGGCATGGCTCCCAGAGACTTATGGGAAATTAAACCTTGTCTTATCTCTGCAGGTTTAAATTTAGGGAATACTTGGTTCAGGCTCCTTTAGCTTGTGCTGCTGAGACATGCTCAGCATGAAAAATGCTCAGTCCTGAGAGTGTCATACTTCATTATGCTCTTTAGTCATAACGTACATAGCATAAGACTAAAAACAGTGACATCTCCAGCTTGGATGTCGCTGTCCGTAGCCTACAAGCAGAACTGCTTCAGCTAGGAAAGGGGCAGGTGAGTTTCCTGAGGTCTGATTTAATCCTCTTTCACTTTAAAAATAGGTCGTAGAGGTAGAAGCTTCCACCTCCAGGTCCTGGGAAACTGTTGCTGATCTTTCAGTTCTGTAGCTTGTCTGGATTTATTTTGCCACGTTTTGAATAGGTAAACTTTCTATGTGTCTTTTCTTTCCATCATTCCGAATTTGTTCTTCATGTGGGTCACAAAGTCCCTCATGATACTTTATCATCCCAGCTTCCTCAGAAAAGAAGACTCCAAGTTACCGTAGAGAAAACTATCCCAGGGAGAATTATTCCGCTGTACAACCCCAGTAAGGTAAAATGCGGGGAAAAAAAAAAAAA